CAGGACCTGTATAACGTATTCCAGTCTAGGTCGAATAAAGGATTTGTAGAACATCAACATAGTCACTGGATCTGAACCCCAGTCAATGCCCGAAATTGCTCGGAGCATATTAATTCCCTAAAATATGTTCATGAGTTTTAAAAACTCACCTTACGAATTTTCGATTTACGATTAAAGATGGGAGCACATTACTTAATTCACTCTAATATATAATTTACAAATATAAACCTTTATGTTGATCAAATATAAATTATTGAACCGTGGAAAGTACATTTAAAAAATAATCAAACAATAATATTACTATCAAAATTATTACAGAAAATTATTTTTTTCATTACCGGTTTCAAACAGTATCATAAAAGGTTAAACAAGTGTGTAAATATGTAATATATTTATACTTATTTCTACAAATATTTAAAAGATAACATAAAAATAGTACTGTGGAATCTGTATTATTTATTATATATTTTATTCATTTTTTTATAATACATTTATATTTTTTTGTAAATAAAGATGTATAACGTTTATTCAAAGAAAACTAATTATTGTAAACAATAATAAACTTTGTCAAGGAGCGTGAATCATTTTTTTTCTTCTATCGTGGAATGAACCAATCTAGAATGCGAATTCGATTTGCAGAAAACAAAAATATCGAAATAATTAGTTTACTATCTATGATACATTCCTAATTTATTTTAATACTCTTATGTCTGTCTTATTGGAGGTTTTTCTTCGGGGACAATTTTGCAAGGGTCAAATTTGACGAATTTATGCAATTGAAATGGAAATAATGAAATGATTTGAATTTGAATAAGTCTCCTACATCTTCGGTTGTCTTAAATATAGCATTTATGCTCAACATACTAACTATGACGTAGCCAATTCCTGATGAATAGTTTAACAGTATTAATTATTCAATTTAATTAACACAATTAATTTCATATGATTAGTATAATTCCATTACTAAGATTAATTATTAATTAAATGTATATTGATTTGTAAATTAAATAAGAAAATTTCTTAATAAAATGCATCTAATTTTCATTCCATATTTTTTATGTATAAGTAATTATGTACTTTGGTGGTAGTTACAATTCATGTTGTTATTATTAATTACAGAAAATAGTTTACGGAGAAAATCAAGAGCTACTAAGATATATTGAGTACACACTTTGTATATAATAATTATATTGAGACTAGAAAACTATGCGGTTATAAAGTATAATAGAGTAGGAACAGAATAAATTGAATCTTCCCAAAGAGTGAATTGATTCGATGAAGTGTCGCGGTTTTATATGTACATAAATAATCGAGCGGAGGTGCCGTTTTCTGTCGGTTATTGCTTATATGTGTGGAAGGGAAAAAGGCAATCGATTCTTCCACCCCGGAGCGAATAGCCGAAGTTGGTAGGGCTGGTAGTTTTCTAAATCTGCAAGTTATCACGAATGTGTGGCGTCGGGTCTTCGTCGAATCCTTTCTCAATGCATCTCCAGACTAGCAGGACTAGATTTATGGCGCAGTCACTTATCCATGCCACCGCAGGCCGCCAACCGCCGTAGAACCGACAAAAATCCCCAGGCCGATGATCCATCTAACACTTTTTAAATCTCGAAGCCCCCTTAACTTTTCCAACCCATCACACGTAGTTTTACAAGCATCCCTTTACCTCTCCTTCTTACTCCTTTCTTTCCTCCTCTCATGTTTTTCGCCTGTTCCTCTTACTTGTTGGAAACTTTGATTTAACCAGACCGAATCGCAATAAATCACGTCTTCCTTTCAATTTTTTTTGTTTGTTATTTTCAACCTCGCATATTTCATACAGTTCACATGGTGGATTATTAGAAACGGCAGGGGATTACCAGTTTCGAAAAGAACGGACGGAAAAACAAATTACGAGATTAGAGATTTACGCAAAAACCCCGCCGCTCGAAGCGTTACGTAATCTCGCGTTTATTTATTTTTATTCGTTTATGTTTCCGTTTTTTTTGTGTTCGTCGCGTTAATTATTTATCGATTTTCCCCGCGCGTTCAGCTCGCTAATCAAACGTCGCATTAAAGTCAATCTCTCAGTCTCTAATTAAAGATATTAGTTTAGTTTACAGCTGCACTCTTTTTGCAATATTCGCACTACAATTTTTCTTACTGAGGAAAGAAGAATAAATTAAATATAACTTTGAAATACGTGGGAATTCGTCCCATCCGGTCACATGGTTGAACGTCTTTTCGGCTTATGTTGAAACTCAATAGCACATATTTCCTGTTGCTTGACTTGTGCAACATTAATCAATCCGGCACACATATATGCGGTTAACCCCGAATTATCATGAATTTGTAAATTTATTGTTTAGTTTTACCTAAAATACTGAAATATACATAATCTCTTTTAACACTCTTTCAAAATTTTCTTTCATTATTTGATCAACTTAAAATTGTTATAATATTTATTATATGATAACTATTAATAATTAGTTTCTTGGTAACTTATCATATTCATAAGCATTTACATATTCAACTTAATGTAATTCAGTATAAAATACATTCTTAGTGTGTTAGTCACCTTCAAAGATTATTTGCAAAACCGCGTTGATAAAAA